AAAAAAGTGGGGCGTTAACAATGAGAGAAACAACACCCATGTCTATGTTGCATGCCCACTGCCTTCTGTTCATTACTGTTGAAATGTTCCATCCATCCTTTCGATGAAGAAATCAGCCACAAGTCACATGGGACTGAACAATTGCTGCTGCATGTTATAAATGCACTGTTCATCTGCTGCCATTGACTGGCATTGATTCTCACCTTACTTAGGGTAATACGACGACTCCCCACCTGCAACCTCATAGTGTAACACCATCAGTTGATTTGTATTTGCTGTTGTTCCTTTTGTCTGTTTCCAATAAGACACAAGATAGCTGCTGGGGGGTTGTAAGAGAGGAAGAAATGAGTGAGAAAGAGCATGGCAAACAGAGATTTTCTTTGGCGGACATGAGGAGAACAGAAGCGATTTGGCACAGTAGGTTGAGTTGGAAGAAAGGGTCTGCGGGGCAAGGAAAGAGGTGAAAGATAGAGGTGAAGGAAGAATACAGAGAGACCTGGTGGATACTGATATTACCCTAATGAAGTGCTGAAGGAAAAGCAGGAGGGTTAAAGGAGGGATACAAAGTTGGAGAACTAGGCTACAGTTAAAGGGATGAGTCATAGGGCACATGGCTGGCTAAGGTGGAGGGTGAAGCTAAGATAAGCTGTATGAGGAGGGCGGGGAAGGGGGAGGGGAGGAGGAGGAGGAGGAGAAGGACATTTAGATTGATGAGTCATCACATGCATGGGATGGAGAAAGAGAAGGATGGATGAATAACCAGAGATGAAAGTGGAGGGGAGGAGGGTTATTCTTGTAACCTTTCAGGCAGGAGTGTTGACAACTTGGCCGAATGACTGCTGGCACCGACACAACATAACACCTGTGACACAATCTGTAATAATTTGTTCGACAGACAGACAGACAGACAGACATTATCGCCATATGACGCCGTGCCATGAGAGTGATTTTAAAGATGGCTATTAGCATGGTACCCATTAGAGTGTAAAGTACAATCTATGGGAGGTCCTTCCATAATGCTTGCTCTGCATGATGACAGCAGAATTAGATGGAGTTTGGTCAAGGGATCATGGGGAGGGGGTATATATGCACAGACATACTGACGCACATATTTTATACAAAATTGGATGGCAATTCATTGTACATTTGAGATATTTCTATACCATTTATTGGTCTTGATTATGAAGAAAAGGATTGTTGGGTTCGGGGTTCAATAACAATGAATCTTAAGATTATAGTCAATATGGTATTGCAGCAGTACATGTTTGATTTGGTGGTGAAAGGCAGGTTTGGCAGAGTTTGAAAGGTAGTTGAGATGCTGGCATTGGGCCAGATAAGTCATGGTATGTTTGTTAACTTGTTCTTTGAACATGTACTGCTGTACTACCATATTGACTATAATCTTAATCTGGTTGCCCTAGGAAATGGGGACAACAGTGTAGATACATATATTCTTGTGCAAAGTAAGATTGCTCATCTGGTTTGTCGAAAATGTCAAAATGAAAGGTAAAAAAAGTCTTCTTGGACAACACCATCACCATCGTCGTGCACAGTTTCACTCAGTACAGTTGGAATCTGAGTGTCAATTGCCACATGCTTATAGGACTCTCGGTTGATGGTTCTTTATTAGCAAGGTGGTACTATATTGACTTTGAACTAAGTAATTGACTTTGGTTAATTCAGCAGATGAGTATGCCTGGGAGGCAATGGATATATGGATGACTTTATTTGGACGTATTGTAAACTGATATATAGATTAGATGCATTGGGTTGTATAGGAGAACAAGCAATGTTTTTAAACTGTGACATCATCCATATTGATTTGCTATGAGCGGAACAGAAAGGTGTGTTGTATTGTATGTGTGTTTTAACTGGGGGTGCACAATATGGATTATTTTCAGCTGATACCGACAGTAGATAATTCACTGCTTCTCATTGCCGATATCTATAAGACAACCGGCAATATCAGAAATGTTGTGTTTTAAAAAGAAGTTCATAACCTGTAGTTAATGCACGGCTGAGGGTAAGAAAGAAGAAAGGCAAAGGTGTAGTCAGCAAAAATGGTTGACCTGACCTATCCTAATCTGACTGACATCACTATTGCTAACAAAACAAAAACAGTTCTGACTACGGATGTTCATTCACGCAACGCACATCACACAATTTGTATTGCAAATTGGGTTGTCTTTCTCCTGATACTGTGAAAAACACCTACAGCGGCAACATGTTTGGTTATATAGTCGTCATGCTTCGGTGGCTGTTCTTCTTCTCTGTGTTTATTGGCGGTTTGCAAATCAACTTTAAAGGTGCATATCGCCACCTACTATATTAGAGTATGTAGATGCAATTGTTTAGTCAATGAAAGCAGTTTGGCTTCATGTGTCAGTCGCCAACATCAACAGGTCTGGCAGCAGTAGTGCGTTTGTTGGTGTGTAAAACAAAGATTGTTTGGTTGTTGCTGGCATTATTGCACATTTCACTTCACATTTCACTTGTTTTTTTAATTAATCTTCCATCCTCTGCACCTGTTGGTGTGCTTGGCACCACAAACTAATGATCTGGTAACACAACAGATTGTTTCGTCATTTGATCAGTCGAGGTGTTCACTTTAACATAAGAGCCATTTGGACTTCCTTTCACCTGAGCCGTGTGTCTTTGACCTGGGGCTTGATGCAAACCTGGTGGAGGAAACCCACAAAGGACCAGGGACAAAATTCACAATCACGACCTTCTTCCTTTACTTAGTACCTTTACTTAGTATTCTGCTCATTTTTCTACATTTTCTCTTTGGAACACACTAATAAGGAAGCTGTGACCTGTATACTTTTGTATGATCATGGGTATTCACCACAGTTCCATTTTATTTAAAATAGTCAAGACAAATAATGTTCTGAACATTTGTTGACTAACCTTTGGTCCTGACGGACTCAGGAAAGAGATATTAATTGGCTTAAAATTGTCAATATGGGAGAGTATTGGCTGTTTTTGTTCTTGTCCTTGTGGGTGCCTTGTTTCCTTTAAAAATCATCTTATTCAAGATATTTATTTTTTATGATTACTAATATTGCTTACTGATGATGGAAAAAAAGCTGAATGATTATAATTAATGTTTCCCAAGAGCCTCTGATGTCAGAGGTTGATCATTAATGGTGTCATGTGGAGTTCAGCGAGACAAATCCCTTTAAACACTCAAGAAGGCAACTTCCTCTAAAAGGGACATATCCCCACTGGGAGACCTCACAAAGGTGCTGTGTGTAAGTGTATGTGTGTATGTTTGTAAGAGTGCCATCACATGTTTCATTTTGCTCATATTCTAAGCTTATAGGAAAAAAATGAAATTGGACTGTACAAGCATTAAAACGTACTGCTACCAGACAGTAGAAGGTATTTGTCACATCCAGTGAGGATTTGATAAATAAGTAAGAGAAGTGAGTCAAGTGAGTCAATAAACTCCCTTTTTGAAACATTTTGTTCAGAATTTTACATCTGTAGCGATCGATTGCCAACTAAAAATAAACTGCAGTGAATCACCATTACAAATTATTTTACAGATGGCTGAACCCAGGTCTACCAAGAAAAGTTTGTGACTTCAGATGAGTTTGCCGGCACTGCATCGGCTATTGAATAAAGCCAGCACAAAGAACAGTGGAGCTGCAGACTTCTTTATATTCCAGCATTGTCAAACTTGTGTAACAACCAGATGAGACTGTCCCTACAGTATATGCTAATGTTTCTACCTGGAACTATTGTGGACTTAAAGCACCAGGTGATTTCACTAATTAGCACACCTTTACTCAGAGAGAAGCAACTCATCAGTGTCATCTCCTGGTGTGGTGTTTGTTTTTTGCAGCATTGCCTGCAGACTCTGTGCTCTCATGGCGTGAGAGCGGGGAACAGCCAGTACTTCCCCTTTATCCTGTTGCCTGCATATAGCTCAGTTTGATTTCAGCACCATGGACAGAGCTCGCAAGTGTGATGGGGGGATCGGAGAGCACAAACGTCTAAGTGCAGTGCCTATTTTGTTGCAGCCCACATTACACTAGTGATCAATCTGAATCCACTGAAGCAGATCTCCAATGTGGGCAGATTAACATACATTGTATAAGCATACGCAGTTAAATACGCTTTATTACCATAATTTAGTTAAAAAAATAAATAATCAACTATTAATTAAAGTTAGGTCCCATCCCTGAGTGAAATATATGCATGCAGTGTCCAAGTCTCAGTAAATTAGTCTGTGTCGGAACGTGGACTGTAGAATGTCAGAACTCGATTTACTCGATTTGATTTACTCGTATATGCTCAGCAGCCAACTGGGAAACCCCTCAGAGATGGACAGACCGCATCTTTCACTGGGACAAGCCGTGAAGCATCCCTTTAGTTTTTCCATCTGTAAAAATGAAACTGTGCTCTCCACCGTGTAACTACGCGATCCCAGACCGTCTGTCAGTTTTACCGACCTGCTACCGGCAGATAAAACGCCTGTGAGTGGGATACGACTAACATAATGCACTCTAACAGAATCTACTCCAGGCTATGAATCTTTTTCACCGTTTTATTTTGTTATTTTAAGCTGAACAAATCACCTCATTATCTCTGGCTTTTACTGTGTCGCTGAGGGATCGGGCTTTCTTTCTTTCTTGCGCAAACGCCGTTACCCGTGAATGATCTGAGGTGTTGACCGAAGAAATATGAGCTCTGTCAGGCTAAATGCTGTCAAGCTTACACAGAAGTGGACCACGACCACGAAATAGTGCGCGCAAACACGCACGCACACTCACGCGGGTCCTTTTTTTTTTTTTTTCTTTTCGAGCGAGACAGAGAGAGAAAGAAACCATCTCGGAGAGAGAGAGAGAGAAAGAGAGATAGAGAGAGAGAGAGAGAGAGAGAGAGAGAGAGAGAGAGAGAGAGAGAAAAACCATCTCGAGAGAGAGAGAGAGAGAGAGAGAGAGAGAGAGAGAGAGAGAGAGACGGGGCGCGCATGTCCAGTTCTTCCATGCAGGCTGTTCTCCCAGCTTGCCAATCATTCTAGCGAGTTTCCCCACTCTTTCCATCTCCCCGTCTGCAGCCTACATGTGCGCCGGACACACAGCTCTCCTCTGAGCGGACACTGCATGGAAAGAAACGAACGAGCCCACCATGGAATAGGAATACTGCTGGACAAAACGGGGGGAAAAAACTCTCTCACATCTTTCTTATTTTCTCCTTTTTTTTCCTGACGCCTTTTCTTTCTCTCTTTCTCTCTCACACTCTCGCATCTATCCCCCACTCTCTCTCCCGATGTCTCTCAACAGTTTCTGAAGGGATTGAAGGAAAGAAACATGAGGATTATTATTTTGTCTTGGCACTTTCTCGGGGTGTATTCCGCCCTTTGGGGGCTGGCTGCGGGGGCATTCCCCAGCTCAGTGCAGATAGGTGAGTTGGAGGATTACTGAATTTACGCACGGCACTCAGATCTGAGCCCCTACACTGATTATTAGTGGATTCTAGCAGACAGCAGTCACCAAGGAAAGGGGGGGGATGCACCACAAAATCAATGTAAAACTCAAGACATTTACGCAGGAATGATGGAACAAGAACATACAAGTACAGAAACACATTTTCTTCCGGTGCATCTTTTTCTACTTGTCTTTTAGCCATGATGTTTTGGGGTTAAGGGGAGATTGGTGTCTTTTCTCTACTGAGACTCATATGGTTTATAAATGCACACTTTCACTCTTTTATGGAATTTGCTTGTGTTTTAAAGGTTGCTCTGGGCTGAATGTTTCAGGGAGCTTTATTCCCTTCAGTCTGGTTAGGACACTGCAGTATTCTCTCTCTCTCTCTCTCTCTCCCTCTCTCTCTCTCTCTCTCTCTCTCTCTCTCTCTCTCTCTCTTTCTTTCTCTCTCTCTGTCTCTCTGTCTGCCCTTTTCCAGTTACCCTCCTGTCAGCGCAGAGGAAGCCTGTCTTTCAACCTGTCGTATAGATGAGAGATAAAGTTAACTAAATCTGAATTGTCTTTGGTTTGCTGAGTGGGACCAAACATGCATGCAGCGTCTCTCTCTCTCTTACACAAACACACACGTACAGGCATGTGTGTGATAATGCATGCACTGCATCACTCCTTGAGGGGGGCAGCTGGGAGGTCCTATAATGAGATTCGGCTCCTTGACTCTGTCTCCCTATAGCTGCCAATAAACTTAATACGCTAAATATTTTCTGCTTGGCACACACACACACAGAAACACACACATATTTGCACAGGTTATAAAGCATGCCTGTGCACCTGTACAGTGTGCACATGCCTTAAAAATGCACACATGCTGTATGCTGTGCACACAGCTGCAAATATGCATTCACATACATGTACAGCATACAGCACTTTTTATGCAGGTATGAACACATGTGCACACAAAGAGAACAGGCACGCATGGACATATAACGCTTATGTGACTGTGCAGAAGCACACATGCACTCTTTCCTTCCCTCCCACTGACGGTCCTCCTTAAACACTCCAATATACATACATGATCATTCACTCGGCTCTCCAGCACGTCACTTGAGGAGTCATTTGCATATCTCTGCATTGCACACAAGTGTAATGTCGGTGGAAGCACAGACAGCTTCTTTTTGCATGTGTGTGTAAGAGAGACGGACGCAGATGAGTTTCTTGGAGAAAGTGGTGCAATAACGTGTCATGTTGGGACATATCTACTCCAGTAGTAGGTGTGTGTATGAACGTGTGTGCGCTCTAAGGTTGACTCCTGGCCTAAAACATAAACCTTTTATTTGGTTCCTTGGATAATTCACTTGAGGGAGAGTTTAACGTAGAATAAATCTAATTAATTATTCTATTAATGCGAAGATGTATTGTCTCTGTGTATGCATGTGTGTTTTGTGTCTTGCTTCAGTAACCATACTGATCTACTGCGGGACATAATGACAAAGAAAAAGAGAAGATAATACAAACATTGAACGAGACACTGGCACACACACGCACACACACACACACACACACACACACACACATAAGTAACATATTATGTAGTGACAATTGCTTCGCTCAATATGCTCTTCCTTCTGACTACTCATCTTTCCTCCCTCCCTCCCTCTTTCTCTGTCTCCCGATAAAATGTCAAGGCTTCACAGTCTGCCTGTGTAATCCAATTCAGTTGAGTTGAATCTGATTCAGTTAAACTTAAGTCACATCAGTTTATTTCAGTTCAGTTCAACACACCGTGTGAAGCAATGTAGAACTAATTTATAGGATTATCGTATCAAATCCATGTCCATAGCAATACAACAAAATGACAAGTTCTATAGAAAAAAAAGATGACTATCATTCATCAGTCTCAGGTTATAGGAGACCTCTGAAAGGATCACGTGACCCTTATATTAGTAGTTTTCTCAATTTCAAGCAGAAGACGTGATGCCTGTCTTTACATAGATACTACTTCTCGCTATATCTCTCTTTCCCACACATTTTCACATGTTCTTCTTCTTCCTATCAACTCTGTGTCTATATTTTTTGGGACTTAATACTGTCAGCTTCACTGTTTATTATCATCTCCTCTCTCCCCTCTGATTCTCATTTTATCAGATGGGCCATATGGAGGGATACTCTCATTTTTGAAGGCCAACTCACTCTTAGCACTCACCTCCCTCTCCATTTCTCTTTGCATGCTCCATGCTCCTCCTTTATTTAGCTGACACTGTCTGATCTGGCTTTCCTCCTCTGTTTTCCTTTATGCCCTGTCCAACTCATTATCTCTTTGACTGCCTTCCTGTCGGCTTAGTTGTCTCTCTTTTCTGCTCCTCTCATCTCTCCCTCTCTGCCGTTCTCTGATTTCATCAATGAAATGTGCTGTGTGGGTACATGTGTGTCTGAATTCATGTTTAAGTGTATGTGTGAATGAGGATCGGCTGCAAGACAAATTACCTTTTCTAACAAAGCTAATGAAGATCTCTCTCCTCTCTGTTTTCTCTGCCGTCCTCTTCCTGATTTTCTTTCCCCACATTACTCTCCTTCCTCCTGTCTCTGTACCTCTGTGACCACACTCCCACATGACCCCTCTCTACCCTGCAATGACTGACTTCCTTTCCACACCAACGTGTTCATCTCCTCTTTGCCCTGCCTCTGTGTCCCTCTCTCCAGGTGGGTTGTTCATTAGGAATACGGATCAGGAGTATACAGGGTTTCGATTAGCCATCTTCCTTCATAACACCAGCCCTAATGCTACGGAAGCTCCCTTTAACCTGGTCCCACACGTCGACAACATAGAGACCGCCAACAGCTTCGCCGTCACCAATGCATGTAAGTATTTGACTGAAAATGAGACTGAAACAAATACTCTTTGCCTCCATCTCTCTCTGACTGTCCGTTGTTCAGTCTCTCTCCTCACCATGCTATTGGATGGAAATTGGTTTAATTAGGAACTTGTGTTGTTAAGGATCACACTGCAACTTCATTGGACGAGTAGTTTATGGTTGACATAGTTTGAAAACTGGCTTTTCTACAACAGTTGCTAAATAATTTGCAACTTTGAAATGTTGAGTTTAGACACTGTGAAGTACATTTTAATAATCCTAAATACCAAACGTTCTGACTGCAAGGCATTTTGAGGCAATGTTGGTGGTTATTATAGACAACAATTATGGCCAATACACTTTTATAAATCATACTTTTGCTCCTATTTATGTTTGTCACATCTATTTCCACTTTGCACTACCAATCCCATCTGCAGAAAAGGTAATATTACCCATCAGAATTACAGCATGTTACAGCTATGAAATTAGTCTCGGAACAGTTGCAGCCAGTGGTGAAAAAGGTTCTAAACAGATGTGTTTAGAACCGAAGGGAACAGTTGGTACTTGTGTCCTCTATGATCTTTTGAATGATGACAGTTAATCTTTCACCAGTCCATCCTCTCTTACACTTCCTCTTGTCCTGGAATCATGCAAGAGACAGTTTGTGTTGTTTGCTAGTGTTAACAAGGCTATGTGGGCAGCCAACAGTTCAGAAGTGCTCTGCATTGTACAACTGTCTGCACTGTATGTGTGCCTTGAATATTACAATTTGGCCATGTCTTTGTCATATTTTACGATGAACATTTGTGTGTTTAGACGTCAAATAAGATTAAACAAACATGACAATGCTGGAAATGTTTTTGTAAAAACACCATGTTCAGTTGAAATTGTGTATATTTGACGTTCAACAGCTGGTCATCCCACACTTTTGCTTTGTGGATTTTCTGCTCATCTCTGCACCTGTAGCATTTATTTACTCTCAATAACTGTCATCTTTTTTCCCCATATATAGATGTCCTTTGTTTTGTTTTTACTTCAATCCTTCAATCTGACTGGCCTCTGGAACTACCACTTGTCCAGGCATTGCAATTTACCGGAACTGATTTGATTATGTTTATTCATCACAAATGAAGATTATTGGCATAATCATTGTTATTGTTTGCCAGGACTGTGAGATGTCCTTACATGATGGATTTGCTTACTCTGGCTTCTTTCTTAGAGCAGTGGAGCTTTGCTGTGGCTCTCTGCGTGTATTTGCATTACTTAAGAAGTTTGATTATTTGCTTTCTGAGTGACACTTGTTTATACCACACTGATCTAAATGCCTTCAATGTTGTTCGGTATCCTTCTGTTTGTGCTTGTGAGTTGTTTGCCCTTTTAAGATGCCAACAAATCTCTAAAGGATAGCCTTTGTGTAATTCTGTTGCTCATGGTAAGATATCGTCATGTCAGTGCATGAGAGGGTACAAAGGTTACTTTGAATAATGGCATACGTTTAGTTTAGTTATTTCCACACAAAATAAAAGGTTAGAGTCGTGGGGCTGAGCAGTGTGTGGTAATATGTTTATTAAAGAGAAAAGTAAAATAATATGAAAGTACTGTTATCAGTTTCTGTTGCTGCCTTTTGCTCTGTCCTTAGAGACTACATTTCCCTCTCAGGTATGATATCATATACATGCATCTTATTTTAAGGAGAGTTTCATGTGATTGTGCTGTAATGGTTCACCTCCTTATCTCATCAAACTTTAACAAATCGACCACTGGGGCTGTTAACTAGGCAGGGCGAACAAAAATCAATACAGTATAATACAACAATAAAGTTCTTCCCCTTGTGATGTTATATCATTGTGTTTAACAAGATTTCTTAAAAATCTCCAGATTGTAAATGAAAGCTGCTCCATTCTCAAACCATGCAATTGAAAATGACAAAGAAATGCTTCTCAAAGGATTGCTTGAAACTCTGAAAGATCTTGAATATCATCTAGCGTTATGTGAAGCATGAGTAAAATACGTTTTCACAATTTATGTACATGCAAAGTATTAATGCAGGATTTAACTTCACCAAAACCGTGTAATGTAATTTCCAAGTTTCTTAGCCTCCTGTCCCAGCTGCATTGCAGCCTCACATGAATGAGCAATCTAGTTAATGCAACCTACAATGATTGGAAAATGAATAGTCCATCTACTACCTCCAACCCACAACATGCTGCATCTATTTCTGTTCACTGTTTAGCAGACTGAGTGGGAAGGTACATATTGAATGCTCGTCAGGTGGCATTCTTAAAATGTACGGGGAGTTGTATGATTTTCATAAGTGATGAGTAAAGAGGTGTGCTAATGGAAAAGGTTGGGCACAATAGCTCTGAATGTACAGAAAAAGCACTGAAGCCAGACTGACTGAGATACGTTACAGTGTGTGCTGGAAATCGTGCTCCCACTAATTCTACTATATCCACTTATCCACCTGAATGACCTGCCAGTGGTTTAATTACAACGAAGTTCACGCTGATGCACTGGCTGTTCCTTCATTGCCATGAACAGGTTTAATGTCATTTTTGAGACACTCCCACATACACTGTCCGGTGCTGTGAATACTCGCTGTTATTCACTAATACACCAAATATGTATTTATCTATGGCTGAAAAAAAAAAGAATTCCTGTTTGAGTAAATACACACACACACACACACACACACACATACACTCTGACTTATGGAGGCAATGGGTCATACGACGAGGAGTTCTTGGCAAAATTAAGCTCTTATATGTGAACCGTCTGCTCTCCGCAGGCTACATGTAACCTCCTCTCTGTCTGTCCCTATCTCTGCCTCTCTTTCTTGCCCACTTGCCTTCTCACTTGTTCCATCTCTCTCATTCTCCTCTCTGTTACTTTCCCCCCTTGTCTCCCATTTCCTCGGATTCTCTCTCCTTTTCTCATCTCCTCTATACTTCGTCACGTTTTGCCGTTTCTCTCCCCTCTCCACAGGCGTGGTGAATTGATCTCTAAATTAATCCCTGATTCTTGCTCCGGGTGGTGAGCAATGCTCCGAATTAGAATGGGGAATTCTGCCTCTGACCTTGGCTAGTTCCTCTCTATTCTAGTATTCAGGAAGCGTGAACGGATCATAAAAAGCCCTGGTCCCCATCGTTTTCCATATTCCCCGAGGAATACAACCTAGTTTATTGTCCCAGCGTCACACATTCATATATCCCCTTCTGCTGTCAATCTTTTTTTGTTGTTTCCTGCCTACACACGCATACCAGTTTCTCTTTTGTAGTACATGTATGCCTATACTGTATCAGTGTAGGTGTGTTAATGTCTGACCTTCGCATTGCTGTGTTTGCATCTGTGTGTATTTTTGATGTGCCTCAGCCAGAGAAGCACACTATTCCACTGGGCTCCTCACTAGTGCGTCTCTATTCACTGGCTTATAGAAAATAATGCACATGGATTAGTGTGACCAAAAGCCACTGGGAATGTGTGTGTGTGCATGTATGGGGATATTTCTGCCCATACTGAAGGCATGTGTGAAAACCTGTGTGTCAATGAGTTGCATGGGCACATATGAGCGTGACTGTGTGTGTGTGTGTGTGTGCTGTGGAAAAAAAAGCAGCTGAGACAGAGCATGATGAAGATAGACAGAAAGTGATAAGGTGAATTAGGGACAAAGGAGAAAGAAATGGAGAGGAAAGGATTTGTAACAAAGAGGTGGTTATGCCTGGTTTGTCTGCCAGAGCTCAGAGACACAATGATTTGCTGCCACGGCTGTAAATGTGATTCTTGATACGTGGGGTAATACTTCTATTTTAACTAGTTCCCTGTCCAAAATTAAGACAAATGATAAATGATTGTATTCCATTGTATTCTGTACCTACTGTACAGCAATAGTGATAGTGATTATGATGTGTGGTGTGGTGGTTTGGGTGGTTGATTGTTTGCGGTCATGCATAACCTCATTCGTCATCTAGAATTAATATAGATTGCTCTTATAGAGAATCATTTACAAATCAATACTGTTAATGTATTATTGATGGCCACAGATTGTATTAACGTGCAGGCGACACCTGATTATCTTTGCAGCGCGACTGAGTCAAACTGTTAAAGTCTGAATATCCTCCAGCTGTCAGTCATGTTTCGTCCCTCTGTTGTACGTAGTTAACTACAAAATTAATTAATTCAGAGATGAGAAGGTATTTGCATTAAGAACAGTAGTTAAGCCTGCACTACACCATGACAAAATCTGTCTTCATATCATCAATCACTGTATTTATATTAATATAACATATTCTTGTGAAATAGTTACACTTCACCTCAATGTAACCTCGGCACACATGTTGACTGTTGGCACAATGCATCTGTGATCTTCACACTTTTCAGGAGCAAAAACTGGGACGTAACAAGACATTGTTGATAAAGTGTGATTTGGTGGCTAATCAGTGTGTGAGTCAGTCAGGGTGGTTTACACATTTCATCTGCAAACTTTGGTGTGTATCATCAAAGTGTAAGGTTAGTTTCACCATTAACAGGCAAAGCACAGGACTTTAACTTGCTATCATGTCTACGGCGGCTACCGGGAGATACCGCATTGGGACCACAAGCCAGGTCTGTGATTGGTCAGCTTGGACTTGTTGTGTTTTCTCCTGCAAGTTTCTGATGCCGGTAGAGGCTGTTCATAGCAAAGACAACATTATGAAAGTTGATGAAAGATGACAGAGCTGTTGTTTTTTTACACATACAGTATCTAACACAACCATCTCCAATGCAAACCTGCTCACCGCAAAATGTGAAAATGTACCTCCAAATGTATTTGGAGGTGCTAAATACTGGTGAATCTGATGACTATAAATGATTTATGATTAAAAACCTATGATAAGGAATGAACAGCGAGACTCCCATTAATCCCTTGGCTCCACAATAAATCTTTCTTAAGAAATGTCCTACTTTTTAGACTGACATTATTAGAGTAATTTGTAAAGCCAAACGATGTTCGATTTTCAATAGCTTGAC